TCTCGTTTCCGTAATTTCTTTCTCTCTGGTCCAATTATCTGTATCGTAATGAGACACGTGGAATTGATGGGGGAAAAGAGACGAGAAATTCGGGGGCGAGAAATTAATCCATTAGGAAAAACGATATTTATTTTTATAGATTAATTAGTGGAAATTGAAGCGACTCACGGAAGTTTTTTTTTCATGAAGATGAACAAATTTTTATGACTTGTTGAACATTGCAAACCGTTAAACAATAAGAATTTTTAAAAAATTATGCTTCATTTCGTAGGAAAAATCGTCTTGACACTTTCCTGAGTTTTGGTTTTAATATCCTCCTGGATCTCTCTCGTTTCCGTAATTTTTTTCTCTCTGGTCCAATTATCTGTATCGTAATGAGACACGTGGAATTGATGGGGGAAAAGAGACGAGAAATTCGGGGGCGAGAAATTAATCCATTAGGAAAAACGATATTTATTTTTATAGATTAATTAGTGGAAATGGAATCAACTGTCGGAAGCTTTTTTTTCATGAAGATGCATAAATTTTTCGCGAATTTTAGTGAATAATTTTCAAGCTGAAAAAAGATCGTAATTGTGGAACTTTGAAAAGAGTTGAAAAATAAGAATTTCAACAAAAAGATTGCGCTTCGTTTCTCAAGAAAAATCTCTCCTGATACTTTCCTGAGAAACTGCCAATTCAAAGATCATGAGTTTTGGTGCCGTGAGTCTCTCGTTTCTCTAATATTTTTCTCTCTGATCCGATTGTCCGAATCGTATTGAAACACGTGAAATGGGAAGAAAGAATGGAGAAATTGAAAATAAATACATTTTCGACGAATTTCAACAAATAATTATAAAGAAGAAAGAATGAAAAAATTGAAAATGAGTAAATTTGTGACGAAGTTAAACAAATAATTATAAATATCGAAAAAGTTCGCAACCGTTGACAATTGCAAACAGTCAAAAAATATTTTCCTCCAAAACATGGCCACTATTTCTTCATTTCCTAGAAAAATTCTCTCTTGTCACGTTCCCGAGAAACTTGCCAGTTCAATAATCAAGCACGAGTTTTGGTTTCAATATCCTCGAAGGGAAGATCTCCCTCGCCTCTCTAATATCTTTCTCTCTGATCCAATTATCCCTGCCGTAATGAGACGCGTGGATCAGAGGGGATAAAGATGAAAAACTTATGGATAAGGAGTTAATCAATTATAAGAGCAAGTTACATTCGAATGATTCGATGAAAAAGTCAATATTTCGCGAATATAACTCAATGTGATCGAATCACATGACTGATCTAATTAGGTGCATAATTTTATCAATATTCTTATCACACGCGATATGAATCATTCCGATAGCAATTGAACAATAAATTGAATTTTGAGACGAGGGATTGTAACATTTATTCCAGAAAATACTAGAATATGAACAGACATAAACAATCCCTTTAAATTCCATCCAACATTGCAATTTTTCCAATGAAAAAAAAAAAAATCAGTAGCGAACGGGAAAGTGGTTTAAGTCGACTTTGACTACTGGTCAGTTTTCAACGAATATCTCGGAATCTAAAGCAGCTAGCAAAATTTTTGTAAAAACCTTTTTTGTAGAGCGAATTGAGAGCTATGAAAAAGGTCTCTACAAAAATTTTCCATCCCCCTTAGATTCCGAGATATTCCTCAAAAACTCAGCTAAAAAATAATTCAACTGAAATTTTTTATCGTAACATTTTTTCACTGCCCCAATTTAGAATGCGAGCAAAACGAGAGGACCAACAGTCATGAATCGAGATCATACCTACCCCGAGCCCATTATGACCTGATTCTATCAAACATTTCGATTTGTCCAACGAGAAAAACTAAATCAGTAGCGAAGCGGTAAAACGGTTCAAGTCGACTTTGACTACTGGTCAGTTTTCAGCGAATATCTCGGAACCTAAGGCAGTTAGCAAAATTCTTGTATCAACCTTTTTTGTAGAGAGAATTGAGAGCTACGAAAAAGGTCCTTACAAAAATTCTTCTATCCCCCTTAGATTCGGAGATATTCCTCAAAAACTCAGCTGAGAAAAAAATCAACCGAAATTGCTCCCCAATTAGTGCCCCAATTTAGAATGCGCGCAAGCCGAGAGGGCTGAGTCATGAATCGAGATGATACCTACCCCGAGCCCCTTATCACCTGACAATTCCCGTATTTTGCGAGTTCAACACCAAAAAAATAAATTTAGCCGCACGATATAACCGCGAGTAGAAAATTCCTCTCATCTCAGCTGCGTTCAATTCTTCCGAGCGCCGAGGGTTCAATAATCCAGATAACAATCATAATCTGCAATTCGCGAGACAATACTTGAATAAAATGACGTAACCCGTAAATCACGAATTTTTGTATTATAAATTAAACGCCGAGTGATAAATAATTGATAGATTTATCGTTGTATAAATGTAATTGTCCCGTTGTTACGTAGCTCTTGCCATTGAGTTACGCAGGTGCGTATAATGAGCGTGTGTAACAGTGTTACGCTATTGCTCTCTAGGTAACGTACCCAGAGTTCATCCCTCTCTCTCATTCTCTCTATCGTCGACTCCTCACAACTCACATTCACAATCTCTCAATACCTCAACAGTTAACTAGTTGAAACAGCCTCGGCTTTCACGCTTCAAACACACCAAAGTTACTGATAGTTTTCTTGGCCAACACTTATTATCGCCTCTCGTCTTCGCGTATAATTTACTGAGTTGACTCGGCAGTTGAATCGGATCGTGATTCATTACATTGAAACCTCACACGTTTCTGCTAGCGTTTGCGAAAATTTATATCGAAATGTTTCCGGTTTAAGCTTACCAATACGAGGGATGGCTTTACGATGAATTCCGTCGAGTAATTTATTCATTAGGAAATTATATGTGGGGCAGTGGTTTGTTACCTAGATGAGGAAACAAATTAGAAGACTCTTCGTTTCAAAATTCAATTTCAATGAGACTCTCGTTGGAAAGAGGATTCAGGCATTTTTAACGGATTATACCGTCAACGATACACGAAATGTCACATGGAATGAGGAAATTTTGTATTCTGATATTGCAACATGCCAGTGAGAATAATTACATAAACTCCTCAGCCTCTGCAAAATTATATGGCTAATTGAGGAGAGATCTCCCTTTTCGCAGAGTTCCAATGGGTTGAATAGCGACGAATATATTAGCGCTCCAGAGTTATCAGCTCTGATAAACTAGCTGAATTCCGAGTTTTATCGGTCATTAGAATAAATTCAACAGCCAATTTTCGACGCGAATTCATTAACAATTGATAAAATGAGAATTTAGTTCAAGAGCAGATTAATAATTTGTTCAACTCCTCATTATCTTTCAGGTTTATCTTTCAGGAGTGTCCAAACTCGAGAAAATATTCACTTCGGGGGAATTTTGGGGGTTTAACGATGTACTACATCCTTTCGACCAAAATCCACGTTTTTTTCATTTTTCTGGCAAATTATTGATCGGATTGACGCGAAATAATATACTGTTTTTGCGTTTTATCATTGTTGACTGACTCACAAAGTTTCATGGTAGTGCAATAATTTTCCTGCATTTTTTCTAAAGTTTTGTGAATTTTCCGAAAATTCACAAAACGTTTTTGTGATTTTTTTTCCGTAAAGTTTTCGAAAAAACGCTGGAAAATGATTGCACGATTATGAGATTTCGTGAGTCATTAAGTAAAGATAAAACGCAAAAACTGTATATTTTTCACGTCAATCCGATCAACAATTTACCAGAAAAATTAAAAAAACGTGAATTTTGACGAAAAGGGATGTAATACATCCTTAAGTCTCCCATGAACGAGTTTGATTCGCTTGAACTGAATCTTTCGCTAGCGAATCTTTCTCTAGTTTCGGCTTTACTGTGGATTGTTCATCAATCATTTAATAATGACAATCGTCACTTTTTGGTCCAATAGTTGATGGCGGATGGAACGCGGTCAGGGCGGTATGTCGCGAAAGAAAGCCAAGGCAACCGCTATTTTTCCACCGTTCAAAGCTAAAGGATCATTTGTGACGGATAGCAAAGTCAAGTCTCATGTTGCCACTGCGTTGTTCCAACTTGACTGTGCACGGTGTCTTTCTTTTTCTTACGAATCCCCGAGGCCCCTCTACTCGTTACTTTTGAGGCCTAACGTATATATAAAACGGCAACACCGCCGAAGACCGCGGGCGACGGAATATTCTTCTCCACCGCGTGAAATCACGTCAGTCATTGGCTATTACTAATCTGCACTTTCTTTCGTTCATCATCGTTCTGTTATTTCTCCGTGATATATTTTTTTTTTCCCCGTGTTTTCGTTTTCCAGCAGTGACACGAGTGCAACGAAAAATAGAAATGGAAAATATTCGCTCCGTTGAGAAATGTAAAAAACAGCTATCAAAGCAAACTTTGTCAGCACTCTAAATGCCATACCTGCGGTTACGCGTCAAATGATAGGAGAAAAAACAGCGCTGATATTTTTAATGTATTCTTTGTCACTGAAACCAGTCCAAGAACTCAAACCATAGACTGGAATTGGGAGAAACTATTGACTCGTCCTACTATTCACGAGGAATAAAATGAGAAATTATTCTCAATAATGATTCAAAGATATTCAAGTACTTTTGCCGTTTTTTTTTTGTACAATCGTTTCATTTTCCCCCCAGGTTTCTGGACCTTTCTCAATGATTTTATCATGCAACCATTCAAGATCGAAATTCAATTGTTAATTTGAGTCGTTGGAAACATTTTAAAAATCTGAAAAAAAATACAATTGTTATTACAAAATGGCAAGACTCACTTGGATATCCTTAAAAAATCATGCAAACTGTTCTACCAGAGAATTAAAAAAAACAACTATGAAGTACGAAATTTATATTCAGGCCAAGGTCTCATATCTATTTTACCTTCAAATCCAACTCTCTCTACGACGTTAATATTTGACCAGCTGAAATCACCTGGACTCAGCTCGGGCAGTGAAATAAAAAACTCGACGTTAAAAGTTACTTACCCTGCATTTTCAGCCGCAGAAACTGACATGTGCGTCCTCCTTTCATTGGGGGTGGACGTGGTAGGAGATTTCCGGGAGTGCTCCGTTTTAAAAATGAAAGTGACACCTCAGTGATAAAGAAAAACGAGAATTTGTCACTCAATCCACAGTTTGACGAATGAAAAAAAAAATCCAACAGACTGAAAAACTAAAGATAAATCACAAAATCCACTGTTTTTTCTTCTCTCCACGATGCAGTATCCTTGGCGCATTCACAATACACCAAGAATCACCCTTTTATCCTCGAATTAATCTTAATTCCTCACAATTCACTTGGCAATTATCACAGCCGCGAATCAACTGGAATCACAATGAATAAATCACCGAAAGAAAACATTAATCGCAATAAATGAATTTAATCCCGCACAATTTCCCTTTTCACTGCTTTACGAAGATATTTTTTGCAACTCAACAGCTGTTTATACTTTTTGAGCTTCACAACTGTGGGATGGAGGCGGAAGACTCGTTGAGTTTTTTGTTTTTATAATCTTGTTGTTCACTCTGACGCAGTACAACCACCACCACCACCTTTTTATTATCCTTTTAAACCTAATCGCTGCCGCGAATGTTGGGTGTCATTGAAAATCTTATTGTTTAGTGGATTGTTTCGTCGAGAAAGGCAGCGGTGGCGGTTCTCATGTGATCTCCTGGTCTAAGCGATGCTCCAGAGGCGTAGGAGGTAACCCACTCCAGGGTGAAAATACCGAGGTTAAAAGGAGTTTTGGTTGTGATTAATGGATCCAGTGGTGATTCAGTCACTTCGTGGGACCCACGACTGAATGCCAAATGCCTACCTCGCACAGCCGCCCTTTCAGGGTGAAATCTCGTGGGTCCATCGGGACAGCGTCTATTGGATGGCTTCGGAATTGTTCCAAGACAATCAATCGATTCTGGAAATGCCACAGAGAAAATGCTTATTTAAATTCAGGGAATAATGAGATGGAATACATCATGGGAGGGGACTTTACATCTTGAGTTATCTGTAGCTTCTGACTGAATAAACAGTCTTTAAGGATATGCGAACATTTTTTACAGACCACATTATAGATTCAAGCAGTTTTAAACATCAAATTTTTCAATGAAATTACGTGGGAAAAATTTGAAAAAAAAAATCCTAAATATTCAGCGCATTAAAATTACATTTTGCACGGAATTATTATTTTTTTTAACATTTTATAAATAATAATATTAATATTATGAAATATTATTATTTTTATTAAATGTTTTAAAATATTCATTAATTATGTTTCATAATATTAATATTATGAAATATTATTATTTTTATTAAATGTTTTAAAAAATAATGATTTAATAATAATTTAACAGTTTATAAATAAATAATTGAAATTGTGTTAACTTTTAAAAATCCCATTTTTTTAGGCTTGGAAACGATTCCTGATTAAATTCTGAACATGAATAAATTTGTTACCATTCCAAAAAACTGATTATTATAGTGGAAAATTGATTGTTTATAAATTATTTATAAAAAACGCTGGTAATTTTTAAAAATGGAAATTTGTCAATCGTCTTATTAATTTTCCCCCAAAAGTAAACTTTCCAATTCTTTTTTCAGAGTTTAAAAATTACTTTCTAATGTTTAAATATCGAGATTCAAATTCAGATCTGCAAATTATAAATTATAAAATAATTATAAAATGTGGCTCAAATTAAATCTCTGTCATTTCACTGGAGAAGAAATCGCCAAAGTACTAGGATATCCTTAAGTACTCAAATCTGATTTCAAAGCCTGAAAAAAAAACGTTTAAAATGAAAAAAAATTGCTCAATTTCACTTTGCCGATTTTCAGTTGAGAGTTAAAATCAATTCACTTCTATTTTCCGTTCTTCAATAACTCGAGAATGGCAGAGTGGAATTCCTTGATGTTTTTTTTCATTTTCAAGGTATTTTCTCAAGCGTCAAAATGAGACGTGATTAGATATTATCAGGTGAAGCCGGCTCCACAGGTAATTAATGTTTTATCAGTTTAGGAATTAGTATTATTTCGGGAATGCATCGTTTTAGGACCCTAATGTTGGAGAACGCTTGATTTTGACGCATTCTTTCAATCAAATTGTGATGCAAAATACGAGTTGAACAAACACGTTGTTTATCTAATCTTTGATAACGTGTGAAGCAGTCGAAACGGGTCATTTTGCGGTGTAAAGTGATTCTACTACTAATCGTATGTACGAGGAATTCACATGAAGTTGACAAGTGAGAGCAATTTTTATGCTAGTGAAAAATTACGCGAAATAGTAATAATTGGTCAGTTATGTCACAATTATTCCGGAGTAAAGTGGTGAAAGATAACGAGACGACCTCATATTTCTTCGAAATACGAATTTGTTGAGAAATATTCTTCTGAAAATTTTATTTTTTAAAATACGACTCTTAACATTTTCGTCCAAAAATTGACGACTTCCGAGATTAATCTGCGCAGTTAACAAAAAGTCCCATTTGACTTGTTTCATTCCCATGAGCATAACTTTCCCCAAAAATATCTTTATCACATTATCGGGTTTTGTGCCCAGAGGTGTGGAAACATTAAATAAATGAAGAACTAACGAGAGAAACCGAGGCCCAAAAATTATCGGGTGAATTGTCATTAGGAGAACGTCATCTCCCATTACTAATGACATGTTCGAGGTACAACTTGAGTCAGTAACTGGAAAATTACACGCAATAGTAATAATTGGTAATTGCTGTCACCATTACTTCGGAGCCAAGTAGTGAAAGATAACAAAACCAATTATTGAGAAATATTCTCTTGAAAATTTCATCTCCCAAAATTCGAATTTCTCAAAATGACTCATTTTCTAATTAATCTGCGCAATTATCAATTATCGCTGAATGACGAGGCCCAAAAATTATTGAGTGGATTGTCATTAGGAGGACTTCATCTCCCATTTGCTAATGATATGTTTGAGGCACAAATGAAGTCAATAATTGAAAGTGCGTTTTATGGTATCGAAAAATGACACGAAACAGTAACAAGACGAATTGTCGAGACATATTCCTTTAAAAATTTCATCCTCCAAAATACAATTTTCTCAAAATGACTCATTCTCGAATTAATCTGCACAACAATCAATTATCGAAACTATTGAACAAATGAAAAAATCGGTGAATGACGAGGCCCAAAAATTATTGAGTTAATTGTCATTACGAGAACTTCATCTCCCATTTACTAATGCGAACACGTTTTATAACAATTGATAATTGTTGTCACCATTATTTCGGAGCCAATTAGTCAAAAAAAACACGAATAACAAGACGAATTGTTGAGCCACATTCCTCTAAAAATTTCATCTCCCAAAATTCGAATTTCTCAAAATGACTCATTTTCTAATTAATCTGCACAGCAATCAATTATCAATCACAAGTCAAATTATCATCAGAAGATCCAACCGCCAAATTTTTTGATCCGAGAGGTGCGACCCATTGAAGAAATGAAAAAATCGCCGAATGACGGCCGAAGAGGCCCAAAAATTATCGATCGACTTGCCGCTGCGAAACTTCATCTCCTTTTTGCCGGTTTGCGTAGGTTATGGACAGTTTCCCGTCGAAAAACACCGCGGGGCGCCACACACGAGATGGTTAGGTCTCAACTCTCTCGCATCAGGGACAAAACACCAACTCCCGAACCTCGACAGTTCCCCGAAAATCTCACAATTCTCCCTAAAGTAAAAAAAATCCACTCTCCACTTGGATCACCCACCGACCCACCCAACCTCCAAAACCATTGATAACACTATAATTCATTAAATCTCCCTAAAATCAATAGAATGAAGCAACAACGATTAATCCAAATGGCTACACTTTCGTCATCTCTCACGCATTATTCTCCTCTTTCATTTCACCACTGACGATCGAAAAAACATCCAGCAAAAACACGATCAACTCCACAAGAATATCAAGCCGAAAATCAAGGGGGGAAAAAAAATAACCAAGTGAAGACTTACTTTGAGCCTCACGTGCACAGATTGCCCCCGAGTTCTACCCGTTTTCCACCAATTTACTGGGGTCTCTCTCGTTCCTTCTCTTCGCGGCACAAAATGCGTATGTGTTGTGTGTGTGTATACGTGATAGCAGCGCGTAGATGTATATCCAGCACGGAATGAAATACCCCGGTTTGTGTGTGTGAAGCGCGCGCGCGCGCTCTGTCTCTCGCCTCCTTCCTGTGTGTCCAGTATACGTGTGTGCACTTGATTAGCCGTGTGACGTCACGACACGGTTACATTTCTCGGGCGATTGTCACTTGGTATTTTTTACACTCGAGTTGAGCCGAAAAATGGATGGCTCTTGGGGATTTGGAGGATTTAATCGGCTTTTTCCAGCCCCCACGACACACAGCGCAAGATGATGGTCTTATTTGAATTCCTATTGTTACCAAAAACACTCGTTCGACGAGTGGAATCAACGATTAATTCACTGTTATGTGTTTAATTCCACTGAATAAACACTCGCGTGGTCAACACTATTGTATTGTTGAGGTGGTCATGAGTTTAGTTGCACCTCGTGGCTTTTTAATCCTTCTTTTTGGGTTGAGTTTCGGTAATGGGGCCCCCGGCAATCGTTGAAACAAGTGCGAACAACTCGTGGGGTCTACACGAAACAAACTGACTAACGCAACGAACCGCAAGTAAAATCGCCGAGGGTACGTTGGATGGAAGGGCCCCCACAGGTGGCGCCAGGGGTTTATCGTCCTCGGTTAACATCAGAAATTATGGCGATGCGGTTATTACAGTTTGCGTGCCGGCGGGGGGGGCGCGCGCGACTGTCGCCGATCGACGGCGGAGACGGCCGAGCAGCGGCGAAAGTGAGCCGAGGGTACACGACGCCGATTCAATATCAAGTACAACTGCGGTTAGGTATATCAATGTGGGGATATACCGTATGCATGGGTTCGGCTTTGAACTTTGGGGAAATTACCCGAGAGCCTCCCGCCCCCCTCTTTTAGGTGTATGTGGCCATGTGCTTCGCTCGTGAGGTCACACGCGCTCGATTTCTACGGCGCGCCATCTTGGGATGCTATTGGGCGGGCGGCAAGGTTCAAATGCACCGGGAAAGGACCGCTTTACGGACGCTTGAGGGAAAGACTGATTTTGACGGCCTAGGACGTTTTTTTTAGTCAGTTTTTAGGGGTTTAAAAGGTGTTATGAGTGATGGAATTTTTTTTGAGAAGTTGGGGCGTATAAACACTTCCTCGGGGAGTAGGAAATCTCCACGTGTCACGGGATTCTGAGTCGTCTGAGCCTCACTTGTCGAGACCATTTTTTTTATCTGTTTGGAGGGAATTTGGCGACAGAATAATTTATTTATCTTTGGTTTCACTAGATCAGGGTAAAATTGAAAGGGAATTTATTCTGCCTAGGACGTAAAAATAATTGATGTTCAATTAATGTGCTGTTTTTTTCTTCTCATTTTCTCTGCAGATCTTCATCTGAAGGATATTTCACGAACGCTTAAACTTTTCCAACTCCCACTTTACAGCCTAGGCCATAGATTTCTATTTTTATTACGTCAACTGATTTATTGAGTTTCTAGACATTCTTTTTATCTCTTTGGAGGGAATTTGGAGACTGAATAATTTATTTATCTTTGGTTTCACTAGATCAGAGTAAAATTGAAAGGGAAATTTTTCTGCCTAGGACGTAAAAATAATTGATGTTCAATTATGTGCTGTTTTTTTCATTTAATGTTCTCTTCAAATCTTCGTGTGAACCATATTTCATGAGCTCGTAACCTTTTCCAACTCCCACTTTACAGCCTAGGCCATAGATTTCTATTTTTATTACGTCAACTGATTTATTGAGTTTCTAGACATTCTTTTTATCTCTTTGGAGGGAATTTGGAGACTGAATAATTTATTTATCTTTGGTTTCACTAGATCAGAGTAAAATTGAAAGGGAAATTTTTCTGCCTAGGACGTAAAAATAATTGATGTTCAATTATGTGCTGTTTTTTTCATTTAATGTTCTCTTCAAATCTTCGTGTGAACCATATTTCATGAGCTCGTAACCTTTTCCAACTCCCACTTTACAGCCTAGGCCATAGATTTCTATTTTTATTACGTCAACTGATTTATTGAGTTTCTAGACATTCTTTTTATCTCTTTGGAGGGAATTTGGAGACTGAATAATTTATTTATCTTTGGTTTCACTAGATCAGGGTAAAATTGAAAGGGAATTTATTCTGCCTAGGACGTAAAAATAATTGATGTTCAATTAATGTGCTGTTTTTTTCATTTAATGTTCTCTTTAAATCTTCGTGTGAACCATATTTCATGGGCTCGTAAACTTTTCCAACTCCCACTTTACGGCCTAGGACATAAATTTCTATTTTTATTACGTGAATTAATTTATTCAATTTTTCTTTTCGGCACAATGTTCTACGGATTCTCTGGTTCCAATAGATCAAGGGCGGTTCTGCCCTTGTTATCAAGGAGATTTTGATTCGTTCTGGGGGCAAGAAGGTCCCAGGTAGATTTTGAGCCCGATAACGCTGCACGATGGAGGGCTGTGTAACCGTCCGAGTCCTGGATATTCGCGTCGGCTCGGGAATTTAGGAGTAGCTGGATTATTTTGTCGTTCGATCGGGTCGCGGCTCGGTGGAGGGCTGTGGCCCTTCCGCAACGAGTCACTGCGTTTATGTCCACACCGTGATCTAGGAGGAGTTTGCAGATCTCGTAGCTGCCTGATCGGGCCGCGTAGTGCAGGGCGGTGTACCCTGCCGAGTCCTCTTCGGAGGGTGAAGCGCCGCTGCGCAGGAGTTTCTCCACGCGGTTCAGGTCATCTGTTTGGGCTATCGGATATACCGCAAATATTATTTGCAGAATTTATTTATGAACAATTTCATTCATTTCGGAAGTATTTATTTCATTTGTTCCATTTCAGAAATATTTATCATTTCATGTTTTTCTCATTAATTCATTATTCATTCATTAATTAATATGAATGAATTATCAGTATTATTAATATATTGATATATATTATATATTTTATTTATACATTAATTATTAATTAATGAATTAATAATTAAAATTAATTATCAAAGGAAAAATATTAGAATAATAATGATTGAATGGAAGAATATACTAGACACAATGCAAACATAATTTGCAGAATTCATTTATGAACAATTTAAAACGATTGAACTTCAATCGTTCTTCTCGGAGATGAGTTTTTCGGAAATTTCATTCAGAGATATTTGTCGTGGATTCACTTGTTGAGTCGATTCAACACTTGGATATTGACTCGGAATTAATAAAGAAAATGAATAATAATTTTTTATGGAATTTCTGGTGAAGTCGATGCTGCTGAAATTCATATTTACCAAGCTTGAGTCTTAAATAATGCACACGTTTTCTCAGTAACACTTATCTCCGCCTGTGCGTGAGTCACGTAATTCGAGTTTATCTTGATTGACTTTTTTCTCAGTGCGCTGATATATTAAAAAAAATAATTTGCATTTTTATAATGAAACTTAAATCAGTTCCTCGTTCCAGGCACCTGTTGGCTCGAAATGTTTGTGAATTTTGTAGTTTTCCACGAATGAGCCATTTCAACATATATTTTTTACGGATATGATTTATGAAGACGATAAACAAATTAAAAAACATCATATCCATTAAAAAAAAATCACATTCGCTTGAATAGTTTGAAAATTTAAATTACCTGCGTACCATATTCCCCGCTGGAAATCCATCTCTTTAAGACTCTGACTGACACTCGAACCGGAAGATTTACAGCATCCATCGTGGTCGTGTCCTTGATGCTCCATTTTACTCTACTGCCGGATCAAATTTACGGGTTTTTTGTTTTTTTTTAACTATCTGGGACACCTTCAACCTCTTCAAACTCTTTTTCATTGAAAAGGAAAGACGAATGTTAGTTCTCTGAACTGCACGTGTAATGTAGAATATTTTTATTCATCTCATTTTGTATTTTTAATAATAAATCCAACAGTTTTCATAGTCGATGGAAAGAGTGTCTCAATTGTACATTTATCATTCTCTGTAGGCCGACAATCCCACAGATCGTGTGAGATTTATTACAAACTGTCGTTTCACAGTACATCTAATTTATATTACTCTCACGAAGATTAATAGACAATTTTACGGGGGGATTTCTCTTCACTTCTGCCATATTTCATCTGTAAATTTCATTCGCTGTACTTGTTACACTTTCACGTGTTCCTCATAATTAATTTATCAATCGGAATATCTACTGTTCAAAGTCGCTAGAAAAAATCGGTATAAATTCAGAATACAAGTTTGGTTTGTCTCTTTGATCCCACAATGTTCAGTTACCAACGGAATATTAAAATAATTTGATTCCAGCGCTGTTATACTCGATTAATACATAATTGACTCTTCAATCATGTTCTACGATATAAAGATGTCAATGGAGAAAACCAAAATCAGCGGAGTGGATGGAGAAAAAAAATGAGAATAAAAAAATAAATCTATCGGAATGATGTTTCATCAGTACAATAATCTTCCACATTACGATTATCCGTATTCAATTGAATGGTGCATTGACAAACACATATATAGGGTGCGATATACGTTTCATTTTGAGGGGAGTAATAAAAACGTCATTTCATTCACTCGGTTTTTTTTTTCTTAAATTTCTCTCTGTAATGTCCACAGTACTTCTGCCTCTCCAGTGCTGCAAACGATACGATAGCCGAGCTCAGCCAGAGCATTTATAACGGCTATCGGTGCTCCTGAAACGAAATGTAGGAATTGTTTTTCTTTCTCTCTTGTTTTTGTTACGGGGAATAATCGTCAGCAATTATTGTGATACAGTAGCGCAGCTATTCGGTGTAATGTGATCTCACAATGTCGTCTGATCATTGAAATAACGTTTCTCGTTTTTTTTTTTTAAATAGAGGAATGACAACTACAAAACAAAAGCCACCACCATAAAAAGCGAAGCGATCAACTGTGATTTTTGAGTGATTAGGGGGTAGAGGGTGAATGGGCCTTTTTGAATCGTCAGTGGATTGATGATTGGAAAAGGCTCATTTCGTCCTGCATTCCCACGTGATATTTTGACTGATGAAATTTTGAGTGAACGTTAACTAGGGCAAATGATAATAGCTTAACCCAACATAAAATTTATAATTATCTTGAACCTTTGATCATAACGCCATTGACGACGTCAGCACCTGAGTTTGGAAATCGTTTGATCAGTGCCCCTATCTCGTCGTGGGTTAATCCAAATACAGCTGCGTCTGATGCAAATGGTGATGCTTTCACAGCGATATAATAAAAATTCTCGTTTCCAATAAGGCTATTGATTTTTTCCGACATCTTTACGATTGCTTTAGTATCACAAACTTCCTCTTTTCAAATATTTTCTGGAATTATTATCAATACGGTGGTTTTTTGTTTTTTTGTTAAATTTAGATCCCGTTGTCTTTTAGTTCTAAAAGAAAACAAAAGTCAATGTTTAAGTATTTTAATGTCTTTAGGTATTTGTTTGATGTATTTTTATTCTCTCTAACGCGATTAATATTTTACAATGGAAATTGCTTTTTTTAGTAATGATTAATTGCATGAAAGAAACGCTTTATTTTCGCTTGGAGGCTTTAACATGTCATGATATTTAAAATAATAAAAAGTAAATGGAAAATATTAAAATAATGGAAATTGTTTATTGTTTAGTTTCGTAGGAACTCTCTGCCACGAGTCTCTGTTCACGTTCCTCTTTCAACTGCATCATACGTGACTCATGTGCCCAAATCTCATCACTTCTCGCTTTGTCTCTCTCATATTCCCACTGATATCGCTCCAATTCCAGTGCTTTACGGCGCAATTCCAATTCAGCAATTTTCCGCTGCGCCCTTTTCTCGAGCAACTGTTCCTGGAGAATTTTAGTTTGCAGGGGTGAGTGGACACCCAATTGATTTATTGTTGGCTCAAAGGTTGAGACCGATGTGGCTGTGTGAGCACGATTCAGGTGATCTGATTCATTGGATTTTCGAATTTGAATTTTGCGATCGTCAGGAGCAACTAAAAATAATTCAATCATTTTTCGCTTTCTTCGGGATTGTGGGGACAACAGTCTGGGGAACATGAATGAAAATTTGCTTGATGAACATTTTGGACAATTCCATTCCATTAATATTTGGAATAATTAATTTTAATATGATCTTCATGTATTCTTTTGTAGTCTTTTTCTTTCTATTTATATTTTTTAACGCGTCTATCGATGGACGTGGATGGATTTCCCTTGATGATGTCCAGAATATTCCGATATTCATTGAAAATGTTCAACAGTTTAAATGTTCATGCATAAAAAATCGTGCGATTTGAAGAAGCAAATGAGAAATATTACCGTCAAAAAACATACCAGTATGGATTTGAACAAGAGGATCGATGCTCCTAGCCTGACCCTGATGATTAATCCCACGAATGTCGTTTTGCCGCCCATCCCACCCACCATCATCATCCCCATCCTCACTGAATGCCATATTCTGGGTTGGATCGTCCTCCTGCATCTGCTTCTGTCTGTTCCACTCATCGATATCCTCGAGATCAGCCTCAGTGAATGAACTGACGTCCAATTGTGACATCTCCTCGTTGCGCTTTGTCCAACCCTCTGGCAATTTAGCGCCCAGGAGACGAGCACGATTGACTCGCTTGCTCGTTGATACACGCAAGAACAAATTCTTCACGTCTATCGACGCCTTCTCACATCTCGCCAAGTGTTTCTCCATTCTCGTGGCATTTTGAATGTAAGAACGGTGACAGAATTTGCAGAATGCTGTCACCGTTGTTCCATCAACTTTTTTGTTGTAGTAATTCCACACAACTCCCTTCTTCTTCACCATTTTGCTTTCTCTTCGATTTTAGGCTGTTTATTTCACTGATAATGTTCTGTCTTGTTAGTGGGGCTGAGGTTCTTCCTTTTCTGGATTTTTAGTTATCTCCACACTTAGACAGTTTTCAATGGGTACTACAATGAAATATTCACGACTCGTACTGTTTTTAAAATCTATTCAATTACGGCTAGTTGAGTAAACTAATTAAGTAAATTTTTAATGTGGAAATAATCATGTACGAATAACATAAAGCGTGTCTTTCAAATTTTTCATTTTTGCTCACGTTAATTACCTCAATTAGTCTCTTACGACAAGTGGGAAAATTGTCAACAAGTTCAACAATGAAATAGATCTAATACGGCAGTAATGGATATTTCTCTATCAAAATTTTGTCAATGTCAATTTTTCTAAAATCATAAAAGTATTTTTCCTCTTTTAAAAACTGTTGACTCAAATTTATTATGTGTGGGAGGGGGAACGTACCTGGCTTAACAATGGGCTCTGGCTCGGGCTCGGAGAAATCTTTTCTCATAGTCCACATGTACTCATTGTAATCCTGTTTAACACTCGTACTGGATGAAGCAACAACCTTATATCCGAGCACCTCGAGTGCCGTTAGTATTACACAGGGATGTTGGAGGTATACTATTGTCGAGTCGTCGCAGTAGCCACCAGACGCAAAACGAGTCAATTGTTCAATGTCCGATGCTAGAAGAGAACATTTATTTATTGAGGATTCGTGGAACTTTCATGGGAGATTGGAAAATTAGTGGTGAAGGGGAAAAGTCGATTCTTTACTTGTTAAATTTGTAATTATCTCGATGATGAGTGGATTTTATAAATACATAATTAACAGATTTATCTGATTTTAGTACGATATAAAATTCCTTGTTCAATTTTCGTCTTAAGAATATCCAAGTATTTTTGACCATTTTCAACCATAAAATTCGTGAGGAAAATTTGAAAAAAATCATGAGTACTCTGGGTCATTGAAATTACATTGTGCACAGAATTATTTTTTTTTAACATTCGTTGGTTGTAAAATTCCGAAACAAATGATTTGAAATTGTTAAAATTCCGAACAAATGATTTTTATGGTGAAAAATTGATTGTTTATCAATTTATTAATAGAAAATGCTCGTATTTTTCGTCACTCTTCCTCCAAAAGCAAACTTCCTAATTTTTTTCAGATTTTTAAAATGTTTTCTTCAATATCGATCTTCAAATTCAGATCTGCAAATAAAATGTCCCAAACTTCGGGTCAAATGGGGCTCAAATAAAAGTTCTCATGTTCAACTGTAAAAGTAGAAAATCATTTCACTGTAGAAAAAATAGCCAAAGTACTTGGATATCCTCAACCCTGGAATTAATTCAATAACGAATAATTCTAGAGGAAACCCGCTCAAACATTTTCCGCAGGAAATGTCTTCAGCAACAAAAAAGTCTGTCCACATTTGCCCCCAAAACACCCCACACCCGAGATAATTAGCGATTCAACAAGCCGTAAAAATCGACTTGCTCTATTCTGTGCAATTAGATACTGCCCCTCCACAGCCTCAACGCTGAGAACCGTCAGAACTGACAGTTTCCCCTGCCAATCCTCAAAAAAACATCAACAACACCAAAGACACTACACTAACCCACCAAAAACCCAAACAGAAGCCCAAAAACTAAACGAAACACGTGAAATTACCCACAATCTACAAGTGCAGAGGTGTGAAATAAATGGTACCTTTTAAACCAGAAACGAGTACTCTCCAGGGATACCTGTGACTGTAGGACGCAAGGTTACCACGTACCAGAATGTATGGCATCTGTACCTTTTTTTCGTTTTCAATTATACGTTTCGCAATACGCAACTGGAATGATACACGTACAGACATGTGAATTAAATATAATTCATAACTTGTTAATGTTTAATCTCCAACAACGAGTGATGTAATCTAAATTCCATGAGGTTAAACTACCAGAGTGTGCGGGGGGGAGAAGAGAAAAATGACTCCAGATAATTTTCCTCAGTTTCTTCAACAGTCAGAGCCGTTTTACGATGTATTTACTGGGGAATTATGGGTGCGAGGAGTGATTTGGAGGCTCCGTAACATCGGTGTCATGAGGAAATATGTGAGTACATACGTAAGGCTTCGACGACGACTCGATAAACACTGTTGCCCCGGAGAAACAATACTAGTGTGTGTTTATTAACGCAACTATTGCCAACGGGTAATTCTCGGCTGCTTCACATGTATGCTACTACCACTAATGACTACTGAAACCATACTACCAGTCTAATGCGTAATAGGAGGTTCAATTCGTCGGGGATTTTCACAAATAAAACATCGCCGAATGCAGGATTTTTCGTTTCTTCTCCATCTCGACAAGGCACAGCGGCAAAACGAGCACAGTAATTGCATTTCTCGCTTGTTGGACGGTAATAATGATAATAACTCACGTTAGGATGGACGTTGACTTTTTTTCCTCATTGAGGTGAAATTTCCGGCTGCTCGGTGAATTTCTGGAGTTCCTCGCGGAAATTTTTGATCGATAGTCTTTATCCGGGGATTTGGGGATTCCGGGGAAATTACTTGCGGAAAATTACGGGAAGAATGGGGGGTAAACCACGCGTATATCGATCTCAGTGGCTTGCCGCCAAGCAACAAGCCATCTTGACGTCACCATGTCATCCACCGAGAGTTTCTCCTCTCATGGAAATTGGGCTTTAGGGGAATGATTTTTGCGAGAGGGGGATGATTATACGCGACGTCAGTGTCTAAACAAAAAATATTGTAGAGCATTTGGAAAATTGAGGAAACTGAATTGTTGAAATTGAATTTTTGGTACTGGGGGCTTCGAGGGGTCGAGATGATCAAGTTTTTGGTAAGTGGGTCTGCGTCTCAGGGCTTTCTGGGGAGTTTATTTGGTCATTTTTTCAGCTAACCTTGGGGATCGGCATTTATGCTGGGATCTACATCAGTCAAAACTACGAGGTGAGTGTCAATGAGTGGAGAATTGATTCGAGAGATTTTTTTGTTCATTTTGGGTATTCTTAGGTTCCTCGGGTGGACGAGCCATCAAAAATTCTAGACCGATTAAAGGAATTCGCGGATGAACACAGAAAGAAATAAATTAATATAGATTTTTTGAATGGCTGAAGGAATTGTGAATTGTAAATGTAAATAATTAATTATGTAATAACGATGTTTATTCTGTATTTTTTTTAAATACAATCTTGCCGAGATGAAGGATAAAATTTATGCATTTCCATTTTATTTGTGGAACAGAAAATTTGCTAAATCGAATTATGATATCAACCACTGAAGAAGTAATTAATTCGCTGATGAACACAGGAAGAAATGAATTAACATGTATTTTTTAAATGATTGAAGGAATTGTGAATGATAAATGTAAATAATTAATTATGTAATAACGATGTTTATTCTGTATTTTTTTAAAATGCAATCTTGCCGAGATGAAGGATAAAATTTATGCATTTCCATTTTATTTGTGGAACAGAAAATTTGCTAAATCGAATTATGATATCAACCACTGAAGAAGTAATTAATTCGCTGATGAACACAGGAAGAAATGAATTAACATGTATTTTTTAAATGATTGAAGGAATTGTGAATGATAAATGTAAATAATTAATTATGTAATAACGATGTTTATTCTGTACTTTTTGTGAAATATAATCTTGGCGAGATAAGACAAAATTTATGCATTCTTGAAGAAATCGTCGAACGGTGATACAATTTATTTGTGGGCCAGAAAATCAGATGAATAAAATTATGAAAATATTAGACCACCGCCTGAGTACTCCAATCTCGCCTGTGGCTCAACGAAGGCTAGCCAGTCTGAGGCGTGAGTGGGTAATAAACCCATTGACTGGCATTTGTACAGGGCTAAGGCTATGTTGACTAGTTGACCGAGGAAAAATACGAATTTCTGGCCGAATGCGTGGGTTCCCTCGATCACTTTGAATGCTGCAAAAACATTGAACAACATTATTTATCGATATTTGAGGGAATGAGGGGGTTTTGATGGACGAGCACTCACTCTGTTGAAGTGTAAACAGGGCCTTCACAGGCCTGATGATCAGCATCCCCACCATCATGATGGGGAAGATGGAGATGGAATTGCCAGCCATGAACATGATGAACAAATTCATCGGCACCTGCTTGAGAGGGCCCAGTGCCAGGTCCCAGGATTTCTTTATTATCAGGTGATTCGAGTCGTTCTCCCTCAAGTGCTCAATACTCTGGGAGAGACTTGCTGCTGGAGTGTAGCCCGGAGGATTCGGCAATTCTGCATTTTTATCTTGTTTGCTCCTGGTGATTGGGATAATTCAAATTAAAAAATCGTGGATTTTATCACAACTGTCTTAAGCAGAGCTGGCAAAATGCTTTCTTAAATAATTCATAGAATTTTCTTAAATTTTCTTCATTTTATTATTCGAGATGTGTTTTTAACGAGAAAAAATTAGAACAGAAATAACAATTTTTGAGATATCAAACCCATAACACAAAATAATCATCATATTTTGAGCTTTGGACTCTAAATTTTTCATGTAGATTTAAATAGTGAAATGGTGAAATAAAATGAAAAAAGAAAAACTAAAAATGAATACTATTTGATCGATGGAAATGGTCAACTCGAAGTATTCTCTTCAAACGGTATTTCCATTAGATTCCCGTGAATATTTCCCAGCTCTGTTTCAAGGCTCTGCTGATTATTTATTTAAGGGAGGTCGGGGTAAAACGGACACTTTTGACTTTTTTTTTAATGTTAATGAGGGGCTGAAATGTTAATAAAATTTAATAGTTTTTTTTTCAATACAAAAAGCAATTCTTTCCCTTTGTGACGAGCCTGAAATGAAAAAAATTGGTTCTGTCTTATGAATAATTTAAAAAAAAGTCTAGTGTCCATTTTACCCCACCCGTCCCTATGTACAATGTCTCGTGAGCCCTTACGAATATTTCATCTTACAACATTTTACTTTGCGCCCTTTTCCCAATAAAGACACGGTCCCCTCCGATTTCCCCAATAAATTGACCATAACAATTAAAAATCATGAATTGTGATAATTCAATTGGCGTTTATTAATCGTTAATGACATGCTTCACGTTTCTGCTCACCTGTGGGCGAAGTCCAGCGTCCACTTGAATTTTTTCGGATTTTGCTTAGAAGACGCCATAGAATCACTTATTTTTAACAACTACAGTTCATTAAATACTCTGTTTTAATCTAAATATTAAATTAAACGGCGAATGGGTTAAATGCATGCACTCGTGTCGTACATGTTATAAACACGTTAGTTCCCTCGATTGTTGAGAGATGGCGCGGCAGTCGGGCCGCCATCTCGAGTGGCAGTCTGCGCACGCGTGGGGGTAGTAGTTCGCTTGGTGCGTTCAACAGCGTTCGAGCTGCTGACAAAAAAGCGAAAACCCGCGGTTTACGGTTCGTTTTAACGGTAAAACCCCAGTGAATGTTATCCCCAGTGACTTCCGACCCAGATCCACAAAAAAACATGAATTATCCTACGATTTTTCGCACTAATTTCGGGGAAATTCCAACTCAAAAATTGCCATTTCGAACAATGGCCCGGCGACTACATGTTTACTAACGCCAAATTGTGTTGAATAACGAGGAAAGACTGTCGGCATTTCCGCAAAAACATCCCCTTAAATATTCGGTTAATTTCGAAGTAAACAAGTCGAAGTACAAACGTTGGAACATTGGAGACCCCTCGGGGACGTGGGATTTTGCTGAAAATGGAGTAACAATTTCATTGAATACGACACAAGCCGGGTCTTTGATATTCGCCGACACGGACTGCTCCTCCGCACCGAGGCCCGAGGGGAGAACAAAGGAGTCCCTCCAAACGGACGCCATAGTGAGCTCGAGAGATTGTGCTGGCGTCAGACCAACGTGAGGCGGTGGCGCTGTGTCGAAGTCTAGAGGTGCGTGGGGCTGTGTGAAAATGGAACAGTTAGTGAGCACGGCCAGTCGTAACCGCCAGGCGGCGATGCACCGGCGAAGTAAAATCAGAACAAAGGACTCGACGCGAGCAACATGTGGTGCTTATTTTGTCGAGAGAACAGAAGTGTTTATTTACTGAAATAAAAACAGATGTGTTTATTTTATCGAGTAAACAGAGGTGTTTATTGTGATGGATGAACAGAAGTGTTTGGTGAGTTATCGGTGACTTTTGACTGATCGTGAGGTCTTTGTTGAGACGATGGGCAGTGAGGGGGCGAATTCGCAGGGCTAACGCCATTGTTTCTTTATGAACAGGCTGATGATGTGCCAATGACCTTCATTGCGGTCCTCAGGAGTATGTGGTGGGTGTTGTGATGGGATTCTGGTGGCAATCGTGAGTGATGGTGAGTGATGGTGAAAATTGAGGGAAGGGAATAGCTGGGGTTTCTTTGGGCGAATTTTAGTCAGTGGGAGGGAATAGGTGTGTTGGGAATGCAGATTTGAAGGTCAAGGGAACGTTTTTTTCGTGGTGTACACAAATAATTAGC